TGACATGTATTTTTGTTCTCCAAAGAGCTGAACAGTTGGCGAAGGCTGTAATCCAGTATCGCAGGGCTTTATAAGCGAGAGCATTAACAATCATTTTTCTGACGGAGATTGGGAGGAAGGTTTTGATAAGATATAACAAACATGATACATTTCTTGGTCTTTTAGCCAAATAATCCAAATGTGTATTCCATGTTAAATCACTGTCGAAATTAATGCCCAAGTATTTTACTGTATTTACGTATGGTATAGGCGTACAGCTACATGATACACGAGACAGTGAATATAATATAAAAGGTGTCTACGTATGCCAGCTTCAGTGGGTTACGGAAACAGACAAGTTTCGTTTTTTGAACATTCACAGATATTCGATTTGCTTCAAACCAGTTCATGACTCTTGTAGAAGTTATTCGTAGCATGTTGATTGCACTACCCAGGCTAATAGGAGTAGATAGCAAGTTATTCGTAGCATGTTGATTGCACTACCCAGGCTAATAGGAGTAGATAGCAACAATGTGTCATCTTCATATTGATAAACTGTACGTCCTGATGTTGATCTGGCGAGATCGTTCACGTAAAGATTAAACAGCAAGGCGGACGAACCAAGCTTTGTGGTACTCCTTTCTGTAGGCACACTTTGGTGCTTGTTTTGCTGCAAACCAATAACTGTTGCGATCTGTCAGTCAAAAAGTTTTGAAGCAACGAAAAAAATGGATCCCGAAATCCGTAATCGCAAAGTTTCTTCAGCAGTATCTGGTGATTGATAGAATCGAACGCTTTCGACACATCGAGAAAGACTGCGCACGTAAACTGATTATTGTCGAATGAGGTGTGTAAAGTGTCAGACATATCCTCAAGTGCCGAGATGGTGCTGCGGCCGGCGATAAAGCCGTATTGGTCAGATGATAGAATATGGTATTTGTCAAGGAAGGCGCTCATTGTTTTAAAAATATATTTTCGAAAACCAATGCCAAACAAGGAAGAATAGATATGGGACGATAGTCTTTTACAATGTCATGTGTACCATTTTTATAAAGAGGTCTGACAATTGCGCTTCTGAAATTTTGGGGGAAAACCCCGGTGTCAATAATTCCGTTCAGTATGTGAACAACAACACGTTTTGAGACGTTAAACTTGTGAAGCAAGTCGCTGAGTTTAATATTATCTACAGCAGGAGACTTAATAATGATAATAATAATAATAAGACATAATGAACATAAGAATCAAAATATTAATAATAAAAATAATACTTTGTTCAGACTTGTTGAGACTCGGCTATAGGAGCAAAAGGCGAACTAACGCCGTCAGAGCCCCAGAAGGAGCTAACAGTTAAGGAGGCGCCTCGAGAATCCCACTGGCGTAAGCGCTTAACTTTCTGTCTTGGTGGTATACAAGATGCGGGTGTTAGTGGTCATAAAATGTCAAAAGGTGTGATTTTTTGGAGCTCAATGGCAGCTGCTGTTCCGCCGAGCAACTGAGCTAGTGCTCGGTCAGCAGAAAGGCGTGCACGTACAGAAGAGGTGCACTTGCAAAGAGCGGTCTCGTGTAAAGGGGGGATTGAATATATACGTACGTTGTGAAAACTTCACTTGAAGACTTGAAGCTCAAGCACGCCGAACTCACAGCGTTTTCCAATAGGCGGCGCAGGAGCTGGTTCGATTCGCTTGAGTAAGATGTCGTCCTCCGCGCTCTGCACGCTGCGTGCTGCGGTTTGTATAGTGATGTGCTCTCGCGGAGTGATACACTTCGATACAAATAACCATTTTTTGGCGTTTTTAGACGCGCTCAATGTGCGGGGAAGTTGTAACGAGCACATAGAGGTTCTTCAGTAAGGTCCTCTTTAGTCATGAAGGAAAATCGACGCTCATTACCTAAATAGCTCATTTGCGTTTCTACGCAAATGAGCTATTTAGGTACTGAGCGTCAATTTCCCTTCATGACTAAAGAGGACCTTACTGAAGGACCTCTACGTGCTTGTTCCTGCTCAGTTCCTGTTGTGTACAGTTCCTGTTTGTGAACCGAAAGAGTACATTGGACGTAATGCCGAAAGACAGGACATGAACTATTCGTCTTTTCTCCGTAGAATGATGCTTTTATAACAGTGTAGTAAAATAATATTCGTAAGCTTAAATGCATTGCGTTTTGATGTCAGCAGTTTTTTTATGAACGTATTATGCGTCATGTGCCAGCATGTGACAGTTTCTTTCAGAAAGCTAAAGACGTTTTATGTTGTCCACTTAATCATACTGCAACCCATGAGAGTGTGGTGCTGAAGATTAAGGAAATTTTAATTCGAAGTAAAATACAAAAGAAGAGAACACCCCCTGAGTTGTCTTTTTATTCGATTTAAAAGTTTCTTAATTTTTCCCCACCACAGTCTACGGTGTTATATTAGGATCAATAATCACAACCTCGCCTGACACTCACTCTTTCGTGTTTCGTTATTTGTCCTGATACTATAGATAGCCAACGCTTCAAAAGCCTAGGATCGTGGAGAAATATGGGTCCGAAAAAATGATACACTGAGTCCATCCAGTCATCCAACTACACGTACCGAGGAACTAAAAATTATGACAGGCTAATTATTTGTTCTGCCTGATGAAAGAGAATGACCACCTTCATATAAATACAGGACAAAACAATTATTCGCTAACAAATTAACTTTTTTCTTCTTTTGATACTATAAAAGTAATAGCAGAAACAGCAACTATAAAAGTAACAATTTATTTTTGCTCTTTAGTAAAAAATATACTACTTTTTAATGTGAAAATTAAGTAGTTTCTACTCTACTCAACCCGTTTTTAACAGTGGTGCTCAGTAAGTGAACTTAACTAGTTTGTTTTAGTACTTCGTACATTTTGATAGGGTGACAAAGATGGTTCATACGCATATGTCTGACCACGACCGGCACCGCCAAACCAGTTTTTAAACCTCTTATGATTGCTTACGTTACAAGAACCTAAAAAAAAAAAAAAAAAGGTTATCGCAGTCAATCTTAGCGGGCTATTCCGGAGTTTTCTTCTTGGACTTCATTTCGCCTCAGTATTTATGAAACACACCAACAAACATCGTTGAACTAGTAATCGACATATTAGATAAAATTATTTTTTTCGCGAGGATATTGAGTTTGTAATGCTAATCCTAAATGTTTTTTTTTGTTTTTTTCAAACTGAAACTTTTTACTGGAAACAATACAGAAGTGACGCCAGCGGAATATAGGTGCTCACTCTCGGGACAGTGGAATTTGATTTCAATTGATTGCAAGAAGTTTGATGATGTAAAATGAATGCTTGGAAAGCTTGTTTCAGCTCTTGCGCAGCAGCATATACTGTTTTAACGACTGGCGGCACGACCTAGTGCCTGCCAGTCGAGTGACGTCACGATACTGAAAAGCGCGGGTATATTTGAACGTTGGTTTGGGCCAGACTTGTACCGTACGCATTACAAGTAATCAAATTACTTGTAATCGATTACTTTTTGGAGTAATTTTGTAATCAGTTGATTACTTTTATCAGGCAGTAATCACAAGAGTAATCTGATTACTTTTTGAAGTAATAAAATTACTTGTAACCGTTACAATTTGTCCACGGAAACCCCCCCCCCCCCCCCCCCCGGCACACGCCTTTTTTTTATGGAATGACAAAAATAAAATTTTCTTCTTTTTTTTTTCGTACGGAAAAAAGAAAGATTTTTGCGGAGCTGTAGGAAACGAGGTCAATCTCGTTCTATGTACAGTTTCTGTGGAATGTCCGTTTGTTTTTTGTTTTTTTTTCGGGCTGGGACTGGGAGTGGGAAGCCCCAGGGAAGCCACACTGCGTGACAAAGGCCATTCAGTGCGAAGTTTGAGGAAGCAGAATGCAGCTTTGTGAGTCTTTCGTTAAAACTAGCCTCCTCACGCACACACACGCACACAGAAATAAAAAAATTAAAAAAAAAATTCTGCTTAGGGTACCTACTCGCAGCCTGTAGGAGAACCAGAATCGAAGAATGCCTAAAGCGGATGCAAAATATAACAAAGGCAGTTGAAATATTTCCCCATTTGCCCTACGTGGTCTTTGTGACACCCGATGTTTCGAGCTGAGAAGTGGTCGGGGCGATCTCTTCCGCTAATGAATACTACACATGACCCGTTTCAAATCCTGGAGCTGCTGCTCTTTTGTATAACATGCGAGCTCATTCACATGTGAATAATAAAATGAGGGGCGCAAACTTTGAGCGACAACCCTTGCTCAAGCTTAACAAGATCTAGAACCCCCTTTGCCCCCCCCCCCCCCCCCACACACACACACCGGCGAACGCCCAAATCATTAAACGTCTTCAAACGAATTCTATGCTTGTGTCCGCATTGTGAAGGTGCAACGACCACAAAGAGGGAGCCAGTTTTTCTTCTTCAATACTTGTGCAAATGTGAAATATAGGTTGGAAGTAGTTCATTGCTATGAGCGCTAAAGATGTGTCTTCACACAATAAAGTAATCGGAAAAGTAACGATTACTTCTTTAAGTAATGTCCAATTACTTTTGCCGTCAAGTAATCAAGTAATCTAATCGAATACTTTTTAGCCAAGAGTAATAGTAATTGTAATCGATTACTTTTTTTTAGTAACGTGTACAAGACTGGTTTGGGCATCACCTTCATTTGCCTATCTAATATTAACAATTAGAAACAACTTAAATAACTGAATAGCATGTCGGAAAGGGCAAAGTTCAGGGATTTAGAAAAATCAGCTAGTTGAGGTAGCTCGAAAAAACACCGAGGCCCCCCCATCAAGCCATCACCTTGTAGCCTAAAAATACTGCAGCTGAAAGATTTCGCGGGAATTCGAAGGTCTATCACTTTCACTGACGTCAGTCGGGCGGACAACTCGCAGCTTTCCTCTGATGCGGTTTGTTTGGCCTTGTACGCACGCGTCGACGGTTGTCGCTCGCGGGAACCAGTTTTCCCCGTCCGCCGGTGCCGTGGTGTACTTAAAGGACGACCCACATGGCTACAGAAATTGTTGATAGACCTTCGGGGCCGACACAACTCTCTCCAAAGCCCTCTCTTCTAACCACCAAAGAGGTCGTCACTCACTAGTGCCCCTATAACGCACGGAAGCGGCCATGCCGATTCTCGCGAGTCAGCGAGCTGAAGAGAATTTCCAAGTTGGTGCCTCCGATAACCACGGTGACGGCGCGATGAAGCAGAGGGAGTCCCTCGCAAAGCTAAGGCTCTCGCTGAAAGGTAAGGATTTTGCTCTTTATAATCCCCATTTATATAGGGTCTATGAAGAGTGGCTCGGATATACGGGGTGTCTTCAATAGCGGCCAAGTTGTTTAAATCAACAGCAAAAATCCGTTTCTTTACCTATCGTGCTTCGATTTTGTGCTGCATTACCCACCAGGTGGTGCATTTTTCTGTAAAATTTGCAAAGAACGAAGTTACCTGAGAAAAAATTTAAAAAGAAAAAGACTTAACTCCTATGGAAACTGAGCGAAGCCACCGGTCTTCAAACGACAGGGCGCCGTTTGGCACGGAAGGCAAGAGATGGCGCAAGCGGTCGCGATGCCAACTGCCGCCAGCGAACGAGCATACGGCGCCGAAAGGCGGCGTCATTAGCAGACCTTTCCTACTCAAAAGCGGAAGCTTTTTCGATGCCAGTTGCCAATGCATAACTTTATCATCCTTACTAAAAAAACACATTGGATGGACATAATCGATAAAAAAATGATTTGTCGGTTATTTTGACTGTTCTTTTTTTTTTTCGGGGTGTTTATGTCGTCCGCTTTATGGTTCCTTTTTGTAACCGCGTCTGTTTTTGGTTCTGCGACTGTCGCCGCCTGCGGAACGCGGGCCGCTTTTGAGTCGAAAATACCGTCTGCTAATGACGCCGGCTCTCGGCGCCGCATCCTCGTTCGTTGGCGGAACTTGGCGTCGCGAGCGCTTGCGCCATCTCTTGTCTCCCGTGCCAAAGAACGCCCTAGCTATTATATGAAGACCGGTGGCTTCGTACCGTTTGGATAAGAGTTACGCTTTTTCTGTTTTTACTTTTTCCTCATGTAAGTTCGTTCTTAGCAAATTTTATAAAAAGAAATGCGCCACTTGTGCGCAACGCTCCAGAAAATTATTACGCGATAGCCTAAGAAACAGATTTTTGCGGTCGATTTAAAGAGCCTGGCCGCTATTTGAGACACCTGGTATATTGCGAACTAGTCATTCCACCCCTTAAGGCCCCAAAAAAAATATGCTCCACCGGATCTTCTTTTTTTTGTAACATTTAGATGTGACTAACACAAAAATACGTAAAAAAAGTTGCGTGCATTTATCGAAACATGTTTGCCCTTAAACCGTGGTCACACTTCTCGAACTTCCATATCCAAAATACACGGTGTGCACTGCAAATGCGTTGACAAAATTATATACGAACAGACCTCAAGTCTGTTCGTATTTAATTTATATATGTATATAAGTATATAACACGTCTTCAGATAGTTTCTGCATAGACTGTCTTTTGAACAATGTATTAGAAGTGCGAGCGCGGCATAGAGGGGTGGCGGCCGACAAACCGCAGATTGTTTGAACAAGGCGAACAACTGGGCTAATATGGCGCGTGATATTGACGCCATTTTCATTGGTCAAATTTGAAAGCAGTATGATAGTCATAGAAAGGGTTACCTCTATCGGCCTAGGAGAAGCGCAAAAAACAAAAAGAATGGTCACATCACGCCGAATCCGAGCCGTCGTGGACAAGCAATTTCATCGCACATCTGTATTTCGGCTCTTAAAACTCACTCAAGAAATATGTCACGTCGAGACATGTGCGGTTTCCTAAGAAGAATATATTTTCTTCGGGAAGCGATTGGGGGAGTTTTCGTATAATAATGCGTGGAAAGTCATGTTGCTTATAGGAAGTTTTAGTCGTATGAAACCACTGTACATAAACAATTTAACGGCTGAACTAGTGTGGCTAGTTTACAGTTTTTTGTATTTTTTTTTAGCTTGTGACACGAATTTCACGAAGGCAAGCCAGCGCACACCGCCTATTTTTATAAAAACCGCCAGGAGTGGGGTTTCAATAACTTCATCTCATAATGTCTCTGCAGCATGATTTTTCTCTTCCTTGTTGCTACCATTATGCTGTGCTCACTCCAGCTTTTTTCATTTTTTTTATAAACTTTGCATAATAACTATTAATGCTTCAAGCATACAGGTCGATGCTCTATGTGCTCTGAATAAATTATTTAAGGTGCTGAGAAAACATTTTATTTCTGTCTACGGTCACCGACCGGATGACGACGGCAGGACGCGGTGCATCCCAAACATCTTATTACCGCTTCTCAGCCAATTAGATTACGGAACTAGCCGATAAGATCGTCGAATGACGAACCGTAGAGCGAGAAGCATGTCCAAAATACGCCAAGCCCTAACGACAAACGTTACCGTTGCTGAGCATGGTGCCCAGGATGAGCACATTCTACAAAACCCAGCTTTAATGATTACCTTTCCGAATGATAAGAAATAAAAAGGCTTCAATCGTTAGCACATGTGTCACGCGGCACACTGCCAACGTCTATTGAGTAGCCATGGAGCACTTCCAAAATTTGCCCATATTTTTATATTCACTTAGTCTCTACTTACCATTTTGTCACCTTGAGTTTAAAGAAAAATTACGACAATGTTATATAGGCGACAATTCCTTAAGGATAACGCGTATATTTTACCTGCGGCAAGTAGTGCAAAAACCTTTATTTCAGATATACAAAAGTCGGAAGTGTTTGTCGATAACCTGACAGATGGCGCCAGTGCGTTAAGCGGACTAAGAGGAAAGGCAAACTGCTCGGTTTCAATTGAATACAAATGTGTGAAGCGGTCTTTATTTTTTGCTAAACCATTCGCGCCTCGGGTGTACGAAGGATTGCGAACTTCTCTAGCACTTGCTGCTTCCTGCCTATACCATACGTGTCGTGAAGCAGCCTACCACCCATAGTGTCTCGTTCACAATGTATTTACTTATCTAATAGTATTCACGACATAAGCAAAGCCAATGGAGCCCATTGAAGCACAAAACACGTCGCCAGCCATATGGTTAAAGTTGAAACTATTACTTATAGATAGCATCAGCTGAACATATAAACAAAGGCAAGGAAATTGAGAGAACTAGGCGATCGATCATTTCAGTTTTCTTGCCTTTTCTCTAGTTTTGTTTAGCTGGCTCTATTCACAAGCATGGCCCCAATTGCTCAGCTTCCTGCCGAGGAAGGCTGGTGGAACCTGGAACATGTCACCGTAGTTACGATAATAACCGAGTTATTTTGCTTTTTCAATTTGTTTTAGGGGAACCTGAGTTGAACGCTAGGAGTGATGCTGACTTCCTTCTACGCTATCTTCGCTTCACGAACTCGGATGAAGTGAGGGCTCACAAAATAATTAAGAGCTACTACAAACACCGGGCAAGGTATCCCAAAATTTTCGACCAGCTTACGCCAACGAACGTGGCCGAAGACTTCTCTCGGCACCTAGTCAGCGTGCTGCCAGAGCGAGACAACCACGGCCAACCGGTCCTACTCGTTAGAATAGGTAAGACAATCCACGGTCATCAAAGACCTTAAGGCAAAAAGTAGAGTTTTGCCGTATGGAGGTTGGTAGAGCTTGGAGCCGGTATACCTCGGTATATGACGCCTTGCTTCATGGCTGAACAGATAAAGTTTACCACTGTGCAGTCTTGTTTCACCACGGTCTACAATGCGCACGACGCAGTGAACTACGAGTATCATTTCCACCAGGTCCGCGCACTCTTAAATTAGATCCAGCCAAAATATACTTTCTATTTTGCAGCCAAATATTTTCGACAACCTAACCGCAATATCGTAGCCTCAGAAACAAGTTGGTGTTGGCTTACTGAAAAATTATTTTTATTCAAAGAAGTAGTAATGTAGATTTAAAGTAATTCCTGAGCAGTTTAGTGGTTGAAGTAAGTAACTTGACTGGTTTCGTATCAGTTCTTATTTATAGTAATTCAGTTGTTTTAATATCACTACTAGCTTTTATTGAATAAAATAAAAGTTAGATTTTTTTTTCCAAAACTTAATGTATTACAGACATGTCATGAGCAAAACTGAAAGACGCGAGATCCTTCAATTTTATTTTTTTATCCGTTTGTAGGTCTCACCGCATACTGATGTCTTCTGTTGTTGTTTGCTGTGTGTGTATTTTAAGACAGTCGGCTGGATTGGGAAGTCAGTCAGCACTGGAATTGTTTTACGGATTGAGATAATATCGTCACATACAATATCACCTGACTGTGTCAAAGGACGAAGGTATTGCCGACCATGTTTTCACATGTAAATGCAATTGCTTCTCTTTTCCTTCTTCTTTTCGCAGGAGCTTGGCCGTCGGATTTAGCACAAATTAATTTTAATCGCCTCGTTGCCCTGACTTTGGAACATGTGGCGATGGATGCCGCTTCTCAGAAATCAGGGGTTTCGATACTTTTAGATTTTGACTCCTGGTCAATTGCGAAGATGATGACCCTCGATATAGGACTTGTCAAGCAAGCTGCCCAAATGATACAAGTAAGATGAGCGCACAGCACTTCTACAAATGCTTTAGCGAGTTGCTTCGTATAGCTTCCACCCTCGATTCTTTAATAAATTGAGCCGTACTGCCTCAATAGGTATGTCAACATCGCCAGTAAGGAATAGGACATATAAAACAAAACTGATGAACACGGGTCTTAAAAAAATTGCCTAAATTAGTCGACGCAAATTGTTTGAATAAATTATTAAATGGACGAATGAAAAGGTTAAAAATTAGAAATATCAGTTAATTAATAACCCCTGTTTTTATTAAGTTTAAAAAATGCAATCTTGGTACTGGCTACACGACATCAGTGAGGACGTTCGAAGGACATTTTGTTGAATAAGTCAGCTCGCACTACGCTAATTCGTAGAACAAAAAAATTAGTCGGAGGACCACAAACTCCTGTTAAAATAAAGTGATGGGTTATTATTACGTCTACAAACCCTAGACAGAATTTTACCAAACTTTGCCGGGCATATTGCGGGGAAAATAAAGTTCGAACACAATTAAGCATACTTGAAATGAACAACAAAAACATGATGTTTACGAAAATATCTTTTTTTGTTCGAAATAGCCTCTTCGAATTGGTGGAAAAGAAATAGACACGTAAATAAATTCAACCGAAATTCACAATACTTTTTTTTTTCAACAAAAACCTTCATTCGCTTCTCCGAACAATTAAATTCTATATATTTTTTTTCTCTCTGAGAACTTATAAGACGTCATCTAAGTACATGCGTGCAAAACGCTCGGTTTTATTTTCCTGCCAGCTCTCATGGCAACCCGACAACTTCACGTCGCACGCTTTATTCTGCAAATGGACACTCACACGGTAAAAAAAAAGGCAATATTATATAAAAACACTTGCCTAGATCTCGGCACTCGCGGCTCGCTCCTGCATTCGTGAGAGCACTTTGAAGTCTTTCGATTGTCGTACCTTCGACATCCTTGATTAGCGTAGCCTTACATAATTTTCTTTGACGACACATTTAGTACGCTGGTGTAGCTGTACGCCTGCTACAGGGCACGCAAGTCATCCTTCAGAATTAGAATAAAAACCCCACAGGTCTTTCAGTTTTTCCAAATTCCACAGTGCAGCCAACTGACCATCTTCCAACATAGACTGCTATTTGTAAAAACGAACCGACTTGGTTTAGGTGCATCGACCGATGACACTCTGCAGATTCTCCCAGTGCAGATAACCTTATTCAATTAATTGCTATTCTACCAGTTATTCTTCGACGAATGAACTTATGGCGAATTGGCGAAATTCGGCTTAAAACATCCTACTACCCGAACTCAGTTTTGTTAAAAACTTAATTTTTTTGTTGTCTTCCTTTCAGTTACAGAAGTTCTCATTGTGCAAATAGTGAACCCGTCCTACTAGTTATTGCATTTAAATCCTATTGCCGAAACAATGTTTCAGTCTCCTTTTGCATCTGTCCGCAGGAACTCTTGCCCTTCAGGGTGAACCAGGCACACGTAGTCCGGCAGCCCAATGCGTTCAGCATCTTCTTTTCACTTATGAAACCATTCCTCGGAAAAGCAGAACAGGACAGGGTGAGAAGCTACTACAGACCAGTAACATCCGATTAACCACGGTACTAACGTTCACGTTTCTTACAGTTTCTGTTCCACGGAACAAACTTCGAGGCGTTGCACACGCATATTCCGAAAAGTTCGTTGCCCAAAGAATACGGTGGTGACGGCCCTTGTATCAACTACGACGGCTATTTCGAAAGGATCAAGCGCCAAGAACAAGAGTTTATCGATATTGCTTGCTACGGATACACGAGAAAATCTTGAAGGCGCTGGTGAAACCTGCGTCTGCGCACTGCGCATGCACCCCTCATTTGTAAATAAATATACCCCCTACGTATGTCCAGTCACATCGAAAGAAAATAAAGATAATGAAGAGATCCCTGGTCTTGCACCAATCGGATGCCGCTGGAAATATTTTTCATGCGTTTTGTTTGTCCCTTTATTGTCGTAGTAAGGTGTACAGATGGGGAAAGCAGTAAGGTGTACACTCTAAGGTGTACGGGACAGAGAAAATAAAAGGGTTACCTTGTGTACGTAGGGTTCGAATCGATGGCTTAACTTAAACAGCGTCTAAAGTTTTATTTTAAATCCAGGATATGGAATTTGTCACCGTTAAGCGATAAAATTAAAACTGAAAAGTCTTATAAACAAAAACAACAAGACAGACTTTATGAATATAAACCTTTCTGATGACATGTCTAACCGCTCTAGTCGCACAGATAGGCTATATTGACGGACTTATGAAAGTTCAAAAGCATCCTGTTTTTTTTTGTTTTTTTTTAATGAACCATGTTTTGGGGTTTCTAAAACCAAGAGTGTATTTGAGTTATACAGGAGAAACCAACGAGAGCTTAGGTGTACAGGCTGTAGTGTTGCAATTACTCGGGTAATCAAAGACATGTCTGCAAACAAGAAGTTAACTCTCTTAACGAAACGTCGACCCACACTGTTTTAAACAATTTCTTTTTATTATTTAGACTTTTTCTTTATTTTCTTGCAGAGCGGCACTACTGTGCAGGGTGTTCCAAATAACTTGCGCCAAACTTAAAACAAAACTTGGAAGACGCTTAAGCTTCGCTTTTAAGAGTGGAACGCAGTAGCATCATCGGACCCGGTTCGCATTGCCGTCTCATTCGCCGTGCAGGCGTGCCTTACGTGGCCTAGCCAGTAGCAGCATGTTTCGCTCTCACCCGAAGGGTTATGGGTTCGAATTCCGCCTAAAATTCTTCAAATATTTTTTTTAAGACAAATGAATAACTGTATAAAGTGAAATAATTTGAGAAATGCGGCGGCCTTTAATTCGCATTGCATGTCATGTTTTAATCGCTTTCATTCCACGCGTGACGTCACGTTTCACGTGAGAATTGTGGGTTTGAAATTCCCGCACGAAGTCATGCGGCAATGACGTCATGACCCTATCGACCAATCAGAATTTGTCCTTCACGCCCATGATGCCGGATTTTCTGCGACACGAACTCGTTAACGCTGACGCGTTAAAAAAAAAAATACAGCACTTTGCGGGCGTTAAATTAAGTGAGATTTTTTAGCGGGTCTAGGTATTTTATTTATTGGGACTAATTATGCAACGTTTTAGTTAATTGTAATAGGTCCACGTATGAATTCACAAGTTGTAGAGCGCATTGAAAAACACCCAATAGGCCTATTGCTAAAATTACCCAATCATCAAGGAGAATGCAGGGATTGGTGTTCCACGCGCCGCACGTGCTGGCCTCAGCAATAGTAAATTTTCTAGCAAAAAACTAAAACCAATTGTATCTTCCACACGCATTCGTCAACGCTTTATTTTGGCTATTTACTTCGAATCTTTTTATACGAGGAAGGCGTGCGCGTGTGGCGCGTAGAACACCAATCCCTGCATTCTCCTTTATGGTTGAGTAATTTAGGAATAGGTATATTAAGGTGTTTTTTACATAATACCCTTTGTAGGCATCTTTTCATTTTGATCCAAAAAAAAAAAAAAAACACGAAAACTTGTGAAGACGTTCGAAACGCGGTGACATTGAGGGTTCACGTACGCTCAAGCTCCCAAAAATAGAGTATTTGCAGCTTTTTTTGGAGCATTTCATGCGCTCCAACGCTCATACGGACAATTCCAATGTCAAGGACCTCGCGGACAAGACCGGGCGGAAGAGCCGATGAACCAATTTCGCCAATCCGACAAGAAAACCGCGAGCGACAATGGAATGCTCCTGAGTCCACCGGTGCTTGGCCTATCCGTTAGTTCCAGCACGCTCGTCCACGCCGGCGGCGTCGGGGCCGTGACGTCCGCTACCCCTTCGCCTTCGCCGGCTACGGCGGCGCACCCGAGCCAGCAGGTGAGCATGCAGAACGCTGCGGACATAAAATTTCAAAATGGAGGTCATCGATGGACGACCTAAGGCGAGAGCATGGCCGAAGCCACGAGGACTCAAGAAGAGGCAGGACCCCGTGGAAGGCAAGCCAGGATCGAAGGAAACCAAAGAAAAGGCCAGACGACATGTAGGAACGCAGTCGACGATAGCGGCGACGAAGCATGGTAGGCAATATGTGATGGTTTGGATGTTCTTTGCTTCTCCGCATTGTGGCAAAAACGCCACTTATGCATGATCCGCATGGCGGCACTATTCATATCTATCAAGACACACGTGGTGCACTGTACCTTATTCCATACAATTAGGAAAGTTGTCTAAGACCACAAGTAAAAGAAGAGGTTCAGGTTGTTTTGGTATGAGGCTTTAGTAAGGTGATCTTGTTGTGTTCATCATGTTTCGTTTTCATTTCCTTTTCTTCTCTAAGTTGTCCTATCTTTTGATGCTATCATCATAATTACGCTATCTCGTATTCATATATATAATGGACAAGTGCACCTTCACACAGCGACTCGCCAGTGATGCAAAAATCGTGCCACCACCTGTCACGTTATTGTGCTTTTCTCGCGAACCCATCAATGTCCTGGGGTGCTATTCTGGTCGCAAACGGAACCCTTCGAGTTGTGACGTATCGAGAAAGAAGGGGCGGAGCCTCAAACATAGTATGATTCTTGTTTGAGGCTCCGCCCCAACGTTCGGGTTCACGCACGCGGTCAGCTAGAATCTGACGATCCCCCTACGTCGCGATGACGTGTCCACGCAGTTGGGGCGCAGAAATCCCCGCATTTCCCCCTGTTCTTTTTGTTCTCTTCTTTCTTTCCTCCGGGAGTTAAAACGAGCGAATAACGGAGAAAAGGCTACCTTCCGGAAAATGGAAGGAAACAGAGAAAAATAATATTATCTTTTTATAAAATACGAAATATTATTTCAATAATTATGACGTAAAGTAAATTTAGCTAAGATATCTCAGCTTGTTTTCTCGAAGTCTTTCGCTACGGTCTTTGAAAACAAACATGGCGAAAACCGCGGTAACGACCTTGTGGTCTTTGTGTCTCGTTTGCGTCGTTGCTTTCCCTGCTTCTGCACGATACGGATGGCATTACGAGAAAAAAAATATTACGTGAAGGTGCGCTGCGACACCGATCATCCTTTGTGAAGCCGCCGTGAACATAAGCTGCAAATGAAATTTCCTGTTTGCCTGTGAAGGAGGCTTCAAATGGATACAGAGCTGACGACGACTCTGTGGTAGTATATGACAAGTCATGAGATCGACGCAGAGTGCAACGGTTGTGAGCATTCTGTGGATGATGCAGGAACGTTTCTTCGGGCAGTTTTAATAATGCTTTACTCCTTTGCTCACTGCAGTGATTATGCCGGTATAGTCTCCATAAGCCGTGCTCTTCTCTTTCGGCGCTGAAGAAATGCACGCGACGGTATAATCTCGGGCAGTCTTTTTTATTTATTTTTATTTGCAGAATAGCTCGTGCAAAAAAAAAACGGCTTTTACGTTTTTACACGTCCCTACATAGGTACCTCGCTTTCCCATTGGCTTCATTGCGCGTGACGATTCAACGCCATTTGCCATGGAAACGTTCGTGAAACTAGAAACGTTTCACGTCCCTACATAGGTACCTCGCTTTCCCATTGGCTTCATTGCGTGTGACGATTCAACGCCATTTGCCATGGAAACGTTCGTGAAACTCGCCGCTAACAGTCATTTTTCGAGTTCGGGTTGTGACGACAAAATTGCGTAAGAACAAGAATGCACGGGACTATTTGCATTGTTTTAACTCGACAACCGTACCCTTGGCGAGTTAAACTCGAAAGAACATGGCCGCGATGCTCGTCGGATCGACCGCGGCTGGGGTTTGACATGCAATCGGTCACTTGATCAACGCGCACACGAATACTTTCGTGCTGTTGGATGAGCCCACTCGGCGGCAGGACCGGGTCGAAGAGCACAGTGAGCTGGCGTTTAACGTCTCCGATGTAACGCTTGGCGAGATGCAAGACTTGGCTTCTATTTGTGCCGGTGTTATGAAGCTTGAAAGTGGTGGTGTTGTTGTGGCTCGTACGGTAGCGTTGCTGAGATTATGAAGACGGTAATATACCTTTATTCAGCGTTGCCGTGCATTAAGATTCAAAACCTCACCTTGACACAAAGGGAACCACGTTTCCGCGAGCACGGAGGCAGCAGCCAACGGTCTGAGAAAGAATTGTGCCGCCGCCACGACCGCCAGCGATCGCCCCAACGGCAAGAAAACAAACGACAAGCTCATTGAGTTTTGTGTAGTGCTGACTACTGATTCATCGGACGACAAAGGTGAATGATGTAAAACGCAACGTAAGCTTGCCAGCGTTTTGCAAAACGAATTCGTTTCGTTGAAAATTTAATTTGTGGAATTCGTTAACGCCTTGAAAGTTTGACGGGGACCGCATTGTGAACGCAGGCATCACACAAGTGTTTTCTACAGTGTGCGCTTTGGCTGCATGCATATAAAGACAAAAACACTGCCTATATGGTGCATAAAATAAAAGAAATTTCGTTTATCTTGATAATGTTGACTATCTATTGAGTGCTGTTGATAGTAGTGGCGTAGCCAGGAACTTCTAAGGGGGTGAAGATGGAGGGGGGTTGAGGTGGCTGGGATGTTCATGACTTGGGGTGCGCGGGGGATGGTGTCGGAATTTGTGTGTATATCCTAGGGCCCGCCAGATTTGGGGAGGGAAGGAGCGAAGCCCCATAAACCCCCCACCTCGCCCCCCCCCCCCCCCCCCCCCCTGGTTTTGCCACATAAGGGGAGCATCCTACATTCACAGGCTGCTATAAGCATGTGCATAGCCACTGAGCTCGTACCACAATGGCAAGATAGTTGCTGACATTCTTTACGTTACGTAGCAGTTCTTTCTTTAGTACATATGCTCGCTTTTCCTTCACACATCTACTCTGGCTTCGCTTGTCGTTTATGCTGGATGGTGATAAGCCAACAGTGCGTATTTGCTCTGCATCACAGGCAAATTTCAAAAATCCAGCTCACACTACTCTTTAATT